TAAGGCTCTTTCTTCTTTCGTATGACAGTGGTTTCTCACCAGTAGTGTTTATTTCTGGACTGGGACTATTCCCTACCTACCACCATTCAGGAACTAAGAACTGGATGCTGTATACTTTCATCTCCTTGTTCTTCCATACTAGACAGCCTTTGTTTTTAGCAAGGAGAAGACAGTACTACAAGGTTGCTATTTTTTTTCCTGTTCCTTACTTAAATAAACATGCTTAGATAGAACCAATGGACCATGATAAGTCCATCTCCTCTCAACCACTATCTCAATATCATGCTTAGATAGAACCAATGGACCATGACAAGTCCATCTCCTCTCATCCACTATCTCAATATGAAAAGTAAAAAGTGACAGCTATGGCAGATATCATAGAAAGTGGCAACTGTGGCAAAGTCTGAAGTGACTAGTGTGGTCAGATTTAAGGGATTCTGCTTTAACAAATGTGCAAAAGCTAACTGGTATTAGAGCTGCAAACCAGTGCACTAAATTCAGTGCTTCAGGTGTCATTGGTAATATTTAAGATTTGGAAGCCTGTGATGTGACTAGCCCCTCAATCTTTGCGCGATTGTGTTCAACCAAATGATTAATGATAATTCTAGCCACATCACTCTATTCTATAACATAATTTTTCATTTATCATCTCATTTTAAAATTCCTGAGATGCAGACATCTCAAATATCTGTATGAATAAATCCTTCTTCATAAGCATTCTTGAAGGATTTCTTCTTTTGTAGGTTCAGTGAAATTTATCTGCTTTCACCTGGTTTTGTCAGTCCACAATCAACAGACAAGGGGCTTAGCTACTGAGAACATTTACTGAGTCAGCTCACACACACTTAGATAACTGACTTGTAAAAGAATCTGTATCATCACAGGGTTATAAGGTGACCTTTTTGAATAATTATAAAAATGAAAGAGGATATAAAAAACCAAGATTCATCTGCAATTGTTCAAACAGAAGCTTAATTGATAGTTACACCATTAGCAGCTAAACAATGCGAAGAATCAAATCTGCGTCATTTAAATAGAAATGAAAGGTTCAACTCACTGAAGTAATATCAGATGATCATTACAGTTACATTTTCTGTGCAGATATTCTCATTCCAGACAGACCAAGGTTTGTCTTTTTTTGGCTTTGAAATACCAGTTGGACTGGTTACACATTCCACAAGATATAGCTACTCCTCAGGGGGATAAAGGCGAGGAGGAAGTGGCATTTTTCCTTGCCCACAGCTGTGTACAGGTAGCATAATATGTTTGAGCTTTGCTACAGGTTAAACATTAGAAGTGCTTTCCTAGAGGAAGATTAAATCACATCCATTAATGGCATAACATGAAGTGAAAAACAGTAAAGATATGTCAGAGGTATTTAGAAATATTAAAGAGATGTTATAACAATCCTCCATAAAGTCAATAAAAACTGCTCTTACAAATTGTTTTTTACACATTTTCTTATAGTTTTATAAGCAACTTAGACATGATAGATTTTTGTTTCATGAGCAGCACATATAGATTACTGTTTTTTTTTTAAATTATGTATTTGAAAGGCAGAGTTAACAGAGAGAAAAGGGTGAGACAGAGTTTCTATCCACTGGCTCATTCCCCAAATGGCTGTATCGGCTGGAGCTGAGTTAGACCTAAGCCAGGAACCTGGAGCTTCTTCTTAGTCTACTATGTAGATACAGGGGTCCAAGTATTTGGATTATCTTCTGCTACTTTCTCAGGCACATTAATAGAGGAAAGGGAAGTAAGTGGAGGAGATGGGACTCCAACCTGTGCACATAGGGTTTGCGGGTCTTGCAGGTAGAAGGTTAACCCATTACGCCACAATGCTGATGCCAACTAGTAGTGTGGCATCATCATTAAGCTTTGTGTAATTGTTATTGTTCAGGACTTTAAGGGGATGAGTACTGAAATAGCAATTTATGGGGAAAGTATACTGTGTATATATTTTTTCATTTTAAAATTCTTTTATGATAGAATTCCATAGGTTCTGGGATTCCCTCCCTTACCCCCTCCTCAAATCCCCTCTCTATGACAGTGATTTCCCTTCTATTGTTACAATAATATAGTTCTTCATTAACAGTCATAAGTCCATCCTTTTGCTATTTAAGTGTATCTTGACAATGCAGGTATAGACAATGGTAGAGAATCCAGCACTCTATTATAAAGATATATTTAATAGTTTCATTGGGAGTCCATCTTAGATCTGGAAAAAGAGATGTACATCTCATCATATCCTCACATCTGGATATGATCATCTCTATTATATAATTACTATACATTCCCTTAAATGAAAAGCCGCAAAGCAAAATCAACAACAGAAAGAAAAAATAGGAATTTACAATGCCATGAAGCTAGATAACATGCTGCTGAATGACTAAATGTGTCACTAAAGAAATGAAAATCAAGAATATTCTTGAAGGAAAGAATGCTACTGTATGTCCTATGAGTTAGTGAAGATTTTAATATGAGAAAAAAACTGTTTTGAAGAAATGCAAACAAAAACATCAAAATCCATGAGATATAGTTCCCACTGATCTTTATTGATGAGATCTCTCTCCTGTAGACAAGAGATAGATGGGTTAGTTCTTTGATCCAGTGTACTAATCTATGATGTTTGATTGATAGGTTTAAGCCATTTACACTCAGGGTTAATACGGATAGGTGGTAATTTCATCCTGTCATTTTAACAATGGGTTGTTCATTATTTGATTTAGTCTTCTGCTGTTATTTTACTGGGATGTTCTTCTTCATATATCCTTTGGTCTTGGTAGGTGCTATTCCAATTTTCTGTCAAGAGAACTTCAAGTATGATTTGTAGGGCAGGTCTGGAAAAGGCATAGTCATTGAGCTTTACTGTGGAAGAATTTCATTTCCTTTTCAAAGACAAAGAATAGCTTTGTTGGGTACTTTATTCTGGGCCAACAATTTGCTTTTAGAATCTGGAATATGTTGCTTCATTCTCTTCTGGCATGTTGAGTTTCCTGTGAGAGGTCAGCTGTGAGTCTGACTGAAGTTCCTTTGTATGTCAATTGATTTTTTTCATGTGCATGTATAAGGATCTTTTCCTTATGTTTAACTGAAGAGAGATTTTAGTCAATCTTAATGGGAGTTCTGTGTTCCTACTGTATGTTGTTTCCCAACTCATTCTGCAGATTAGGAAAATTTTCATTTATTGCTTCATTTAATATATCTATAAACCCCAGCTTCTCTTTCTGTGCCTTCTGGAACTTCCATAATTTTTACAGTTGGCCTTTTAATCATGTCTCTTAATTCTTAATATATATATACATATATATACATATACATATATATATGTATATATACATATATATACATATATATATATAGGCCTGACCCACCTCTGCTTCCAGCTTTTTGATTGTCTCCTTATTGTGGCAAAAAATATTGTGATTTTTCTGCCTTATTCATTCTATTGTTGAGGCTTTCCTCTGACTTTTTAATTTGCTTCATTTCTAATATTTCATCTTGATTTTGTTTCAGTGTTGCTATTTCTGTGTAATGTATTCCTTAAATTCCTGTAGTGCTTCTTGTTGTTGATAAGAATCTTTATAACAAGCTTCCAAATCCTCCATTTCCTTGATATATTCCTCAGTTAACTCTGAGGTTGGTAGAACGTGGAGGTTTACTCCTTTTTAGGGGAATCTTCAGTGATATTCATTGTGCTTTGTCTCTTCTTTTGCTCTCGGTCATTGCACTTCTGGTTAGCAAATTCTTCTCCTTAGGGCAGGTTTCTAAGCTGTGTCACTCACAGGTAGACAGTTTGATTTTATTTATTGTGGTTGGTACCCAGTTCTTTGTAGTCTCTTGTGCCACTCTATCCAGCAAGACAGGCCTGGGTTCTTATGTTAGGCTTCCTCCATGCTCTCTGTAGCCCCAGCTTCTGGCTTACCAATCTACCTCTTGTGATCTTGTGCTGAGACTGCACTGTTGTCCGTACAATCTTTCTCCCAGTTCCATTTCAAGTAGTTCTCAGGATTAGGGAGACACCAGTTGTCCTAAATAGTTGGGTTGTTGGTGGTGCTGATCTTGCCAGAACCTGCTGGCCATTAGGTCTGAGGACCACCCACACCTATTTTGGGTGATACCTGTAGAATGAGTCAGTGCTGTTTTTGATGTAGGACCAAAGCAATGTGTTGAGCTGGAAGTGAGTGCATTCCTAGCTCAGCATATGCACAGATCACTGTTGTCCCTCCAGTCCCAAAGCCTTTGACACAATGTACAAAATAGTGCCTGCCATGGTACTGGGATTGTTCTGGATCTACAGGCCATTATGTCTGGGGGTTTTGGTGGAACTTGTAGGATGCTATGTTGGTACTATTATTCCCGTAGAACCAGTGCAATGCATTGAGCTGGAAATGCATTTGCTCCCAGCTAGCACATGTGCAGCTTGTTGTTGTCGTGCTTCCAGTCCTACAACCTTTGCCATCCTCACAAAATGGTGCCCAATGTGGTACGGGCAGAGTTCTGGGCTGTGACATCTACCCTGTTCCTGCACTGCCTGTTTCTGTTGCTGCTCTGTCTCTTCTGGTCAGATCAAATAAATCAGCGGAATTGGCAGTTATTTGTGTGGATGCACCTCCTGAGCTCCTGGTGAACTCCCTTTCCCACCTGGCTGCTGGTGGAGCTCTGGCCATTGGTGGAGCTTGGATTGCCACTTGCTGACTGTTGCTGGGTTATCTTGTCACTGCAACACCACACCATTGTTTCTGCTGCTTCCTTGTGTCCACCAATCTGCCGCTGGCCTGTCCTCTCCTATTTTCTGGAATCTGCCCTGTCTACTTCACCCTGATTCTCTGTCTGTTTAAACATGTTCTTACTCTATTTCACTATCTTGATTCTCTACTGTGTATATTTTTGTGTTATTAACTAACGGCACCTGTAATTGCTTATGTGATTTTAAAAAAATTCCTATGAGCTTTTATTTAAAAACTAAGAACTTATTTAGGCAGAGTCACCACCAATGCTTATTCAGAAACCATTTTACAGAATGGGAAACACAGCATATTGTTGACACTTATGGTTGTAGACCACATTGAAAAGAGATTCATTCTTTGTAGTTTCATATTTTGCCTCTGTTTTTCATCATTTCCTGTACCTAAGCAGATTGGAAAAAAAAAACCATTTTTTCACTTGCAATTTTGGGTCTACTTGGAATCAACATTTCTGTGAGGTTATAATGAATATAAATTTAACATACAGAAATCCTTAAACCTAGCTGGAATAGGTAATTTGGACTTTGATAATTCCAGGATAATATGTTGCAATCTCTAGGAAAATCATCATCATATTAAAAGTGTTATTAGAAAAATGGCTTGTTTTGCATCATAATATCATGGCAGACAAATTGTCACATGTATTTTTCAAAACCCATAGTGTCACCATTCTGAAGAGAGAACACTAACTTAAACCTGGGACTTTGCAAGGATGTGTCCATATTGGCTCATCAATTGAAATAAGTGCTCTACACTAAAATGAGGTATTAATAATAAGGGCAATTGCATGTGAGAAAGACAAGGAGGTAAATGGAACACACTGTGCTTCCTGATCAAAATTTCTACAAATCTAAAAATGCCCTAAAAAGTCCTTTATTGAAAAAAATCCCAATAAGTAATAAAAATAATAGAAAACTATATCATATTAACTTTTACTTTTAGGCTAACAGAAGGAAAAAATATGGACTAATGAAAAAAGTTAAAATGCAAAACAAGACAAAAGGAACAGGTGTGATAAATAGCATAGGGTAAAATAAGATATTTTAAATTGATATTTAATTATATTAAATGTAAACACAAGTTTACTATATTTGAAAAATAATGATACAAAGCACAACATTTAAGTACCTACTATTTGTAAGAAATGTATTTAGAGTTTAAGGACTGATAAAGGTTAAAATGAAAGGAAATATGGGACATATCAGAAAAGAAATAGAAAACAGAAGAACTAAATAGAATCTTAATCATTAAAAAGATAAAATATATTCTACTTTATGGCTCAATAGCAGAATAGATGCTGGAAGAGTCAATGAACTTAAAACTGAAGCCAGAGAATGATTTTATCTAAACAAGAAAGAACGAACTTGATAAAAACAAGGATTAGAGATTGGTGGGAAAATATGAAAAATTGAGCTTTTTGAAAACATGTCTGCTATGATTTCTGCTACTAGTTTTATTTTTATTCTTTTTATTTATATAAAGGGAACATATTTCATGCAAACAGTTTTAGGAACACATTACTCTCTATTCCTGCCTCACTCCCACATTTCTTTTTCTTCCTTTACTCATTTTTCTTTTTTTCCCAATAATAGAATTTCAATTTGCCATACAGTCATAAGCTTAGCCTTCCACTAAATAAAGAATTCAACATGTAGTAAACAGAAAAGCTACTGTTCTCAAGTGTATAGACAAATGCTAGAAAGAAAAATTAAGTCTCAAAAGGTCAATTTCATTAACATACATTACATTTTATTTGTACTCTGTATATTAATTAACACAAATCAGGGAAAATATAGGACTTTTTTTTTTTAGAACTAGCTCATTTCACCAAGCATAATGTTCTCTAGTTCCATCCATTTTGTTGTGAAAGACAGGATTCATTTTTTAAATAGCTGAGTAGTATTCCATCATTAATAAATACCACAATTTCTTTATTCAGTCACTGTTGGATATCTGGGTTGATTTTGTATGTATAGATACTGTGAATTGAACTGCTAAGAGCATGACAAACATATGCTGGTTTCAGTTCTTTAGGGAAAATTCCCAGGAGAGAAATGGCTGGAATAGACAGGAAGCTCAATTAATCGATAAAAGGTAAATTTCATAAAGTATCATAATCCAAACACTTGGAAGTAAAGATTTAAAAAGTTATGATCCAGCCAGAGGAAATGAAATATGTATTGAACAGCAACAATTTGGATAGATATGGATGTCTATAAAATTATTAAAGCCGGAAGATAGTGACACCATATTTTTTAGAAGAGTTATTTTTTGAAAAAGACATTTTTATTTGAAAGATTTTACAGAGAAAAGGAGAGACAGAGAGAAATACCTTCCATCTGATATTGACTCCCCAAGTTGCCACAATGGTTGGAGCTTCTTTCAGGTCTTCCACATGGGTGCAGGGTTCCAAGGCCTTTGGGCTGTCCTCCACTGCTTTTCCAGACCACAAGCAGGGAGCTGGATGGCAAGCAGGGCAGGGCAGCTGGGATTATAATTAGTGCTCACATGGGATCTTGGTATATGCAAGGCAAGGACGTTAGCCACTTAGGCTACTGAGCCGGCTCCAACACCACATTTTTAAAAAGCTGATAAAGAACTCAATTCTTCTTCAGCAAAAATATCTTACATGAGCGAAAGTGAAATAGGTAGAAAACCTGGAGTGTTCAATGTCAGCTGTCCTGCAACATACCACACTATTGAATTCTGTCAAATACTACTTCTTCTTAAATTATTTCCAAAGAACAGAAGCAGAGGGAATCCTTTCAAAACTGTTCTGTGTGGCCATCATCACCTGGATACCAACACAGCAAAAACAGAAATCTACAGGCCAAGCAATGTCCTTGATGAAGACAAATGCAAACATTTTCAACAAAAATAATAGCAAACTGAATCCTATTAGACGGTAAAATGTTTATCCATCATGATCAAGTTGGATTTATATCAGCTATGCAATGAGAGTTCAAGATAAGCAAATCAAGAAATGAAATGTATACTACACAGAAACAGAATTAAGGACAAAAACCAAGTAATATCATTAGAAAGGGCATTTGGAAAAATTCAATTCTCTTCATGATGAAATGTTGAACAAGTTAGGTTAGAAGGAACATATCTCAACAAAATAAAGACCATATATGAGAAGCCAACAGCTAACATATTTAATGAGGAAAAACTGAAGGCTTTGTCTCTAATATATGAAGCAAGACAGGGATGCCTACATTCATCACTTTGTTGGTCTACTTTTCACCACTGTACTGGCTGTCCAAGAGTGATTAGGCTTAGAAAAAAATGTACAGGAAATTCAGAAAGAGGAAGTTAAACTACCACTGTTTGTAAATGACATGATTGTATATAAGGAAAACCCTGAAGAGTCCACCAAAAATCTGTTAGGAAAAATAAAGAAATTCAGCAAATCTTCAAAATAAAAAGTTAGCATATAAAAATTAGTAACATCACATACCAACCAGAAATGATCTGACAAAGGAAGCAATTTCATTTCTCGTAACTACAAAACAACACCAACAAAAAATACCTGAAAACAAATTTAAAGAAGTGAAAAATCTCTGCAACAGAAACTATAAATAATTGATAAGAGACATTGAAGACGACACAAAGAAATACACTATATACATTTATGGATTTGAAGAAATATTGTCAGAATGTTCATGATTCCCATAGTGATTTAGATTCAATGTAATCTTTGCCAACATGGAACTAGCAAAGACACTGCTGAGATTTTTGTGAGACTACAAAAGACCCTGGAGAGCCAAGAAATAGAACAAAAACAATGAAGTAGGAGGCTCGACACTTTCTCACTTTAACAAAGATTACAGGGTGGCTATTCAGCTTAGTGATTAAGACACCTCCACATCAGAGAAGTTCCTAGATCCAGCTCCTGATATCAGCTTCTTACTAATGCAATCACTGGGAAATAGAAGTAATGATTCAAGTAACTGCATCCCTTCTACTCATGTAGTTGATCTGTCTTAAATTCCCAGTGCCTTTTTAAAAATAATTTATTTTTATTGTGAAGTCAGATATACAGAAAGAAGGAGAGACAGAGAGGAAGATCTTCTGTCCACTGATTCACTCCCCAAATGGCTGCAATGGTTGAAGCTGATCCAAAGCCAGGAGCTAGGAACTTCTTCCAGGTCTCCCATGCGTGTGAAGGGTCCCAAGGCTGTGGGCCATCCTCGACTGCTTTCCCAGGCCACAAGCAGGGAGTTGGGTGGGAAGCAGGACTGCCATGACAAGGACCGGTATCCACATGCAAGGTGAGCACTTTAGTCACTAGGTGACCCTGCTGGTTTACCAGCTCCTGGTTTTAGCCAAGGTATAGTCTTCACTGTTGCAGGCATATGGGGACTAAGCCAGCAGACACGAGCTCTGTTCCTCTGTCTTGGAATAAATAAATATAACTAGCAAGACTACTGTAACTAAAATAACATAAAATGGCATAAAAATGAAAACACAGACCAATGGAATAGAGAGGAGACCGTAAAATTGAAACCAGACTTCTACAGCTAATTGATCTTTGACAAAGGTGCTGAAAACATTCAATAGAAAATGGAAAGTTTTTTTTTTTTAATAAATTCTGTTGGTAAAATTGGAAGTCCACATGAAAAATAAACAACAGATCTATTCTTCACCATGTTAAAAATTAATTCAAAATGGATTAAATACCTAGTGAAACTCTGAAATTTCTAGATGGAAAAATATAGAAGAAACTTTAGGATATTAACACAAGTAAGGATTTTTTGTTTTGTATTTTTGGACCAGATCCTGAAGATATGGCAAGCAAATGAAAATAGATAAGTAGAATTTTGCCCATGTAACAATCTTCTACATAGCGAAAGGAAAAAAAAAATCAAAGAAACAATATAGTATGGTAGAAAATATTTGCAAAATAGACATTGTAACAGGGGTTTGTAGCATAGAAGAATATTTAAGGCACTCCAGCAACTCAATAACAAAAAACAAATAAGCTGATTAACTAAAGACTGGAGATCTAGACAGGAAGACAAATGGATAGGATACTTTTTAAAAAATGCCCGATTGACAGCAATTCAAAACTGTTGAACTATCAAAACTGCTTGAGCAGGACCCTCAGAGCGTGCCTCACATTGGGGACCTGGGATGGGTGGGAGGCAGGGTGGGGCTTTTCCCTTTGTTTCTCCCCTGACCCCAGATACAGGGGGAAAAACTGATGATATTAGTGTGGAAACAATGGTATTACCCACTTTCCTGTAGCCTTTGACCCTTTGTACCCTAATCAACTAAGTAAGATTATTAAAAAATAGATAAATTTAAAAAATGAAAAAAAAAGCCCAACATTTCTAATCATCAGGGAACTGCAAATCAACACCACATTTAGATATCACTTCATTCCAGTAAGACAAAATGACAAAAGATAGCAAATGAGGAAATGAATCCTGTGCACACTGTGGGTAGAAATGTAAATTAGTGCAGATACTGTGGAAAACTATAGAGGTTCCTCAAAAACTAAAAACAGAGCTTTCATTTGATCTAGCACTTCCCCTTGTAGTTATTTGTCCAAGGAAAATGAAATCAATCTAACAGAAGCACCTGCATTCCCGTGTTCAGTGCTGCATTATACTCACAACAGCAAAGAAAGGCAAACAGCCCAAGTGTCCCTCCACTGATTAATGGATTAAGAAAATGTGGCATACAAACACAATGGGATATTACTCAGCCGTAGTATGAGGAAATCTTGTCAAATGGAACAACATGAAATGGAGCCAGAGGTCACCATGTTTAGTGAAATAAGCCAAGTATAAAAAGCACCCAATGAACTTACTTACATATGATATCTAGGAAGTTAAAATCATAAGGGTGGTAACCAGAAGCTGGGAAATGGGGGGTAGGGAAGGCTCATTAATCAGCACTAAGTTGTAGTTAGAGTAAAAGTTCTGGTGTTGTGTTGCACAATAGGGTAATGCTAGGTAATGGTAACTTACTGTATGTTTCTTTATAAAAAGAGAAGATTGAATTTCTGTTGTTTTCACCACTAAGAAATATCAAATGTGTGAGAAGACAGATGTATTTGCCCTAATTGGGTAATACACAATGTATATGTATGTATTAGAACATCAGATGGCATGGAGGAGGGATCTTTGTGGTATGGTGAGTTAAGCCACTGCATGTAATGCCAGCATCCTATGTTTCAGTGCTGGTTCAAGTCTTGGCTATTATGCTTCTGATCTAACTTCCTATTAGAGTGCCTGGGAAGCTCTGCCATTCACGTGGGAGGCCAGAAAAGAGTTCCTGGCTCCTGTCTTTAGCCTGGCCTGGATCTGCCTATTGTGACCATCTGAGGAAAGAACAAGATAAAATATCTCTGTTTTTCTCCTCTCTTTGTCACTGTGCCAGTGATAGGGTGTAGCAGGCTGATGGCTAGCACTTGCTTGTCGGGTTGACAGCAGACAGCCCAGAAGATCGGATTCCACACCCTACCCTTCCTACCTTCTCCAGTGCCATTCAAGTTAATTCTTTGTGTGAAATTGGCTCAGGAGGCACCTAGTGTGTGTCCCGCTCCTCCTGCCTCCCACTCCATTTAACTGACAGTGCTAAAATGGCTCTGGAGGCTCCTCTAGATTCTTCTTGTCTCCTACTGCAGGTTAGTTAACTACAGAAGGACTTTGGGCCCTGGAAGCTGCCATCTTGCTTCATGTAGTTAATAACTGAATGCATAAAACTTTGTTCTGTAGGGCTCTCACTCTTTTTGAAGGATGAGAGCTTAAAAACCCCTGACTTGTGTTTGACTGCGCAATGACTCCTGGAGTGTGGGAGCCGCTGTTACCAAGCAATAAAGATTCTCTTGCACTCTGAAACATGCCTTTGCAATAGAGAATACACCTTTAAAATAATAATACTTGTACCATGTAATTCTAAGTTGCTAAAAGTGGATTCTCAATGTTCTTGTCACAAAGAAGTAGGTATGTGAGGTACGGAAAAAGTTAATTAGCTTGATTTGATCATGCCATAATGTATACATGGATTGAAAAGTCATGTTGTGCTCCATAAACATGTATAATTATTATTTGTCAATTAAACAGTTAAAAATTACTAAGCATACAAAGAAGCAGGAAAATAATATAATGAGGAGGATCAACTAATGGAAATAAATCTAGAACTGATAAGTGTTAGAGTTAGCAAGCAAGAACATGGAAACAGTTAATATGATTAAATTTCTTATGTTCAAAAAGAAAAGTAGAGGTTAGTACATTGGGGCACAGCAAATTAATCACCTGCCTGCAGTGCTGGCACCTCATATAGGCAGTGGTTCATGTCCTGGCTGCTCCACTTCTGCTCCTGCTCCCTGGTTATAACTTGGAAAAGCAGCTGAGATGGTTTAAGTTCTTGGGTCCCTGCAGCCATGTGGGAGACCTGGAAAAATCTCCTGGTGCCTTCGTTTGGAACTAGCTGGCTCAGCTTTGGCCATTGTAGCCAATTGGGGATTGAAGCAGTGTATGAAAGATCTCTTTCTCTGTGACTCTCTTTCAAGTAAAATTTAAATAGATCTCAAGTAAAAGTTAAGGAAAAACATAAAGTAAAAGTAAAAGGTATCAAGGCTGTAAAAAAGCAAATTAAGCTTCTGGGAATAAAAATTATGATATGTGATGGAAAAGACACTGACACTTTGTTCCTAGAAGAAATTTATATATATATTGCAGAACTAGTAAACACCTATCAATAGCAAAAGGAAGTTTTCAAGAAGGTATATATGGACAGAGAGTTTAATTTTTATTTATTTGTTTTAAAGGTTTATTTATTTTTATTGGAAAAACAAATCCACACAGAAAAGGAGAGATAGAAAGATCTTCCCTCTGCTAATTCACTCCCTAAGTTGCTACAATGGCTAGAGGTGAGCTGAGCTGCAGCCAGAAGCCAGGAGCTTCCCCCAGGTCTCTCATGCTGGTGCAGGTTCCCAAGGCTTTGTGATGTCATTGACTGCTTTCCTAAGACATAAGCAAGGAGTTGGATGGGAAGTGGGGCAGCCGGGACATGAACTGGTGCTCATGTGGGATCCTGGTGCACGCAAGGTGAGGACTTTAGCCACTAAGCTACCGTGCTAGGCCCTGAACTTTTAACTTTTAAATAGAGCATCAAAGAAAACTGGGACAACTTCATATGGTCCTCACTATACCTACATAAAATCCCCAGGGGAGGAGGCTGGGATGGAAATGGTGTGTGAAAAACCAGCCATGAGCATGAGTTAATATGGAAAACTGATCATATTGAAGTAAAAGAATTCTATTTCTTAGAAAACACATTTAAGAGAAAGGGAAGAGAAGGCGATGAGTGGGAAGATAACTATGACAAACAGAATCGAATGAATGAATGAATGAATGAAATGAAACCAGAATCTAAAGAAATATTTTCAATAAAGAGAAAAATACAAACCACATAACAGGAAAATAATTATTTATGAATGAAAATATATTCAATTGACTTCTTAACCAGGGAAAAGAAAAAACCAAGGTGTAGTTCTTATTATATGCTTATCAAAATGGCTAATGCTAAAAATACTGATAATAGTAAGTATTGGTAGATGTAGAAAACTGAAACTCTTACGTCCTGCTAGTTGATTAAACTGGCACAATTACTTGAGCAATGTATAACCAAGAAACATGTATAGGAAGGCTCATAACAAAAGTTTTTATAAAATCTCCAAGCTATGAATAACTTGGATAACTTCAAAAATAGCATAAATTGTGTTCTACACAATGAATATTATACAGCAATGAGAAAAAATAGCTACAGCCATATGGATCAATCTTATAGAGGTATAGTTTTGAACAAGCAAAACCCGATATAAATGAATGTATGTTTTATATACATCTCCAAAAGCTGATAAGTCTTAACAAAAGTGTTTCACGATTCATCTTTACTGAAATTATAAGCAAAAATAGGTAAGTCAGAGGTAGGTCTCTGTGTGGGGAGTAACAAGTCAGAGACAGGAACGGGGTTTCTGGAATGGTATTTACCATTATATGTACTTCATTATATTTTGGAGTTACATACTTTTTAAAAAAATATCAGAGTTACATTTTTTTTTAAATCAGTGCTTTAGATTACATTTTATAATGCTTAGAATAAAAATATTGTTCTTTTTCTACATTCCATACCTGGCACAGCATGAAATTCAAAGGGTCTTCTGGTTTCTCATAGACTAAGTTTTCAGTGATTTTCTGAGAAAGAGAATAAGACATCAGATTATGATTTTGAGTGAAGTTTATACAGTTCAAGGTATTTCTGACATCTTTAACAGCATCTTAAAATTCATTTATCCATGTAAAGTTAAAAACGTTTTTTTTTTTTTGCTACTACTGATAAAATTAAGTCAAGTTAAAGTAAAACGGAGGAATCAAAATTTAGTAATAGATAGCAATAGATATTTTTCCTAATTTCTGGGGTCAAAGATGTAATGAGAAAGGTTTGGATAATATCTTTGTTTTGAGAGTTATGATCCTGATAGACTGATATTAATCTATTATTTGCTCTGAAAGATAGTCAATAAAACGTCTATTGAATAAAAAAGTAAAATGTATGACTTTACCTAAAAATCTTCTGTAGTATCTGATACTAAAAGGTGAAAATGATGTTCAGTTTTAATATAGATAAACAAGATGTAGGGGTGTACTTCCAAAAGTTCATGGAAATTTACTTTGGTACAAAAATTTTTGAGGTCCAGAAACTTTTTTGAAGCCTCCTCATATCAAACTTCAGAGATTCATTTTCATGTTTTTTGTTCTTTGACTAGCAAAAATGTTAATAAATACAATTGTAATTTTCAGGAATTAACATTTGGGCAATTTTAAGTATAAAATATTTAGGTCTAATACACAAGCTCAATTATTTTATACATTTTTCTATGTAGTACACTTCTGTGTTTTCTTGACAAAGTATATAATGACCAAAATTCTATTTCCTTCAACAGGTTTCTTCTTTTGGATTAATTCTACTAGTTCTTTAAGTCAGAAGCCTAGCCATTAGTACTTTCCAAAAAAGCAGGGAAAGGTATGCAACAAGGTAATGAAGGGGTTATCTTTTGTCCTTTTTTATTTGAGGAATCTGAGGTTCACAGAATTTAATTCTCTCAGAATCACAAAGAAATGTTAGTTAGGAATTTAAACTCTGGATTGCAACTTTTCCAACTTAAATGGTTTCATTTGATGGAGTTATTCTTATTTTACACCTTTCTAATCACAAATTTACTTCACATGCATATGTTATGTGTGTGTTGCTGGTTAAATAATATTAAGATAACAATCATGCCAGGCAAACAAGAGCACCATCCAAATACTGAAAAACAAATGATAAATATGAATATGTGTTAAAATTCCATATTAGCCAAGGATTGTCATGCTTCAAAGAAGATTCCAGCAACAGCCTAAGGTAAAAGAGATTTATAAATTTTAAGAATTAAAATGTTACTTATTTCCTTTTCTTTTTAATAAAATTGGATTCTTAGATAATAATCACAAGTTCTGTCATCTTTTAAGAGTATTAGGCTCCTTCCTAGAAGCCTTTTTGTTTTTCAGTTGCTGATGTTTTATCCTTTCCTGCTGTGTGGCTAAAACTAACTTGTGGCCAAAATTGTCTCTTATCAACAAATCTTCCTACTCTGTAATCCTTTTGAAGGACTTCATATCACAATATCACTTATTTAGTGTTCATCATTTAACTGTCTTTGATAAATTCAACTTCATACAACTAACTTCTCAACTAGAATATCTTTTTTTTTTAAAAAAGCAAAAACCCTTTCTTGTATCCCTTGAAAAACTCATAATAAAAAGAGAGATTTAGAAGTTTACCTGGAATATTTGTAGAATGTGATGTTTCTCCATGTATTGGAGTGAAACTTCATAAGGATCTTCATATGCTATAGGAGGAAATTTCCTCTTGGGAGTTTGTTTTGCATAAAAATCATCCTGAAATCAAAATATCCCCCGGAGTTCTTAATAAATCTGAAATCTAAATCTGATGTGGATGTGATCTTAACACTAAGAACTGGAGAAGTGATGCATGTTTATGGAGATATGGCTTCTTGTTCCAGCACTATAATGCACCTGAAGGCCTAGGAGGTACTGTAGGCGTATCTAATTTACTTCAAACATTTTTTCCTTCAAAGGCTCTTCAGTAGACCCTAGACTTCTTGGCCTCAGTAGAACTCCAGAGTAAGGAAATGTTTATTGTCATGGAATTAGAAACAAAACTAGGACTTAAAACCCAGGTTTCCTAAATTCTGGTTCTCCTTTCTTCCTGAATGGCCTTTAGGGTCATAGAGAAAGTACCACCCTTCTTCTGCCCTTCCTGAAGTATATGGGTCACACACACCAAAACCATGTATAGGTTTATTATTCATTCTAACAATAGCCCTCCCATCTCTTTCTCCTTCCCCTATTCCCATCCCTATAGATCCTGTTTTGGTCTCCCAAGCAGGAAATTGAATACCCTTTGAACCTACAGCATTGATGTCTATGGATTGAACGTTTTCTTGGCTGGTGCTATCATCATATTTGGATGAGGCAGAGGGGTATGTTTGGTCAAAGTCTTCATCTTTTGCTGGGAAATTACTGGTAAACATGATATCTGTTAAGTCTTGAGCTTGGACGGTGCTTTCAGTTTCTGTTTCATCGGAAGTATTGGAATGGAGTTTTGTTTGGCTATCCTCAAATATGCAGGGTTGTATTCTGTCCTCAGTGTCGGTGTAATGCTTGCCATCACTGAACTGGGGCAATACTTTGTCATCATATTGGCCAAACGATCTAGGGGAAGATAGATAGTCTTCTTGGTCACCAGACTGCTTGTCCATTAAATAGTCAACCTGGTCAAATTCCGTGTAGTCAACCTTGTCAACAGTAAGATCAGTGTAGCTGTCAGCTTGGTCAGTAGCCTGTTGCTCATCAAGTTCAGTGGCTCCATCATTCACCTGGTGGTGAGATGGTTTGTGATCATCTTGGTCAGATATTGCCTGGTCAATGTGCTCAGAAGTTCTCTGTAATGGAGTCAACAAATTTTCATCAGTTTGTTCAGATATTTCTTGGTCATTCAGGTTAGAAAATTTGTGCTCAGAATGCTCAAAAGTTCTTTCAGCCTGGTCAGGTGAACTGCTGTCAATTTGTTCAAAGTTTCTTTGGTCAGATTGCATGAAAGATCTGGTTTCATCATGTTCAGAAGTTCTTCTCTCTGCTACGATGGACAATCTATGCTCAGACTGTTCAGAGAACTTTGTCTCCACCTGGCTGGACAACCTGTGCTCAGCTTCTTCAGAGGCTCTTCTCTCAGTCTGGCTGGATGACCTGCGTTCTTCCTGTTCAGAGGTTCTTCTCCCAGCTTGGCTGGACAGCCTGCGGTCAGTCTGCTCCGAGGTTCTTCTCCCAGCTTGGCTGGACAGTCTGCGGTCAGTCTGCTCTGAGAATCTTCTCTCAGTCTGGTGGGACAACTTGCGGTCAGTCTGTTCAGAGGCCCTTCGGTCAGATGACACTGACATCCTGTGGTCAGTCTGCCCAGAAGGACTTGGGTCAGCCAACTTGGACATCCTGCGCTCAGTCTGCTCATAAGGCCTTCCGTCAGAAGACATGGACATCCTGTGATCAGTCTGTTCAGAGGTTCTTCTCTCAGCCTGTTTAGACAATTTTCGTTCCGCCTGTTGAGAAGTCTTTCTATTAGCCAGGCCAGACACCTGGTGTTCAATCTGTCCATACTCATCAATATCATCTTGATTGGGTACCATTTCGTGGCCGGTCTGTTGAGTTGATCCTGGGTCGTCAGCCTGATGGTATGTTGTGGAATTAGCTGAATAAGCAGCATCATTATCCGCCTGGTTTTCCTGATTTTCTTCTGCCTGGTCATTAGTGGGGTCAACATTTGGGGGTGCGGCTATGTTTCCATGTCCTACAGATTCGACCAGAGCTGTTTCCTCAGACTCGTCCATTTTCCTGCCGCGTCCCTGACCGGTCTCGGGTGGCTCGCGCTGTGGGTGGGGCAGGGCCCGTCGTCTAAGCGACTGTCCGAGAGCGCATGCGCCACGCCCGTTTCCTCAGGCTTTGTGGCTTTGTTCTCGAGTGTGGGTGGGCCGTGCCCTTCTCTGTGACCTGAAAGCAGCGGCCCGAGTGGGGAAGGGCCGTCCTTCGGCTGGCGCTGCCGTGTGGATGCCAGTGCTGGGCCACGCTTTCTCCTGACAGGAAGTAATTTCCACACCGGACAACCCCGGCGTCTTTCCGGCGGCCTAGTGGGGGACTGGGTGAGTGGAGGCCCTGTGGCCGGCGCTCCTGGTTTCACGGAGGGTCACTGTGCAGTGCGGTGAACCAACTATTAGGGCCATCACTCCTTCAGGAACAACCTCTAGAATGGCCTCAGGCGAACGTGAGGCCAGTCAGCTGAAGTCTCCTAGTAGCAGGGGCGCTTATTGAATTCACGTTTCATTTGGTCCTGGCTTTTGAGCTCCCCAGTGTATTATTTAGTGTTTGGTACTGCCAGCCAATGGGATTGATGTTACTCTTGTTTAGCCTCTAAATGCAAGTGTGGGGATGCGGCCAAATTATGTGCTTTCGCTGTTTTGGTAGCTGTTTTTCAGGGCTAGACTTACCTGTTAGAGACAGTATCGGTGCTGCTCTTGTCAGTGGGAGCCCAGCGTGGTGATCTCTGAGGTTGAATACTGGGGTTCTCCGAGTCACCCCATTCTCCCAGCCCTCCTCACCCCTCTTGGTAGTTCACGCCCGAGGGAATATTCTCTTTAGTGTCTCAGAGGCTGGGTGAGCAGCTCTTTTTCTGTCCCCTCTGGGAAGAGCTGTCCTGAGTGTGGAAACTGAAGCCCTAAGCTGTTTGCTTGCAGAATTAGACATATGATGGTTGGTTTGACTGCCAGAGGAAGGGAAATCTGAGCAGAATGGGGTCTAAAATCACACTCTGTGGTGGTCTTAGAACAGAAGGAAGGTTAGGGGAGGACACCAAACCAGAATCCCAGAAAGACAGAGAGTGAGCAAAGCAGAAATACTGAGCGAGTGGAGAATTTCCACTTGGTGGTGGGGCCTAGGGACTGGGTTTTGGATTTGGCTCTCTGTTTTGGAAATGAACCTTAAGAATGCACTTCAGAGTCAGCAGACAGGCAGCAGTAGGACGGTCCAAAGCTGTTGAGTGATGAAATATTTTATATTAATTTTCTGATGCATAAACATCACTGATGTAGGTTGAAGGTTGATAGTCTGGTGCCAGGTACTCCAGTGCTAAGGGTTTCATGGACGTGACTCGAAGTCCAAATACAAACAGTTGTGCTCCAGGTTTGACAGGGAGAATGGATCCCTTTGGGGCCATGCTTATGAGCAGAAAGGGGAACACAGGAACCCTAAAACAAAATCATTCGTGCAAGAATGTCTGGCATAATGGTGCTGAAGAATATAGATTTATAGGTGTTCAGCCTCTGTTTATTTGTAAATGCTTAGAATAAGTGAACGTTTAAGTGAGATAGGTAATAGGCTGTGAGTTGCAGTTTTGAATGAGCACTGGCTTATTGGATTTGTTCTTCCATGTTGTAAGTTAAATGCAATTACTATAGGAAAATTAGGAAAAACAAGTGAAGGAAAATTATTTCTCCCAAATGTTCAAGGAAAAAAATGACTATTAACATTTTAATTTTTGTTCTTATGGAATTCTGTCATGCAAATCTGTGCCTTTATCTACAATCCTGCATGTTTTACAAAATGGCTATTTATGGATTTGAGATCTTTTTATTTCAATTTTTAAAAATATATTAAGATTGGCTTGGCAGGTAAACATACGGTCTATCTAAGAATCTATTCCATGAAAGAATGTTTATTTGATATTATTGGGTGGAATATTCTTTATGTCTGTTGTTGGCTTGTGGGGTTGTGTTTTTTATTGATTTTCTCTCTAGGTGTTCTACCCATTATTAAAATCAAAGCTCTGAAGTTTGTAACTATTATGGCAAATCTTTCTCCCTTAAATCTGTCAGTGTTTGCTTCACATATTTTGGAGTTCTCCATTTTAGTACAAGTAGATTTATAGTTAGCATATCCTGTTGTTTACTTGAAACTTTTAATTCATATATAGGGTAGTTATTCAGCCTGTCTCTTACAACAGTTTACAGCTTTTTTTGTATGTTGTTGGTATGGCTTTGTCAGTTCTCTTTTGATTGCTCTATGTTATATAGCACTTTTGTGCCGGAGTCCAGCTCCAGCTGAGTTCGGAGCTCGGGAAGGGTGCGTGGAGTCAGCGATAAAGACACAGACACAGACACTTGGAGCATTCTCACAACAACTCAAGAAAAAACTGCCCTTTTTATTTACTCAAAACCCTTCTCAAGCTTCTGCACAAGCAACTATTCTATTTTTTTTTCTTTTCAAAATTAAGGGGGCATGTACAGACATTTGGTCACTGTGCACTTCAAGGCTAAGCAGGTACCTCTAAAGATAATTCTGCAAAATACTGTATTCATATTCTTCAAAGCAAGCCATTATTTATTCTTCAACAGTAGCCATGGAGCAACAACCAGGACTCCAAGGCCAAGGCACATGCGATTACCTGCTAATCAGTAGTACATTCCTACCACATTTTAATTTTTGCAATTTACCTATTATTTAATGGGGAAGTAGGGTACAAGGGAAAAACTTAAAATCTAAAACAGAAACTTCAAATGTTAAAATCCCCCTACAACTATAGTCTCCTACAACCCCATAAACAATAAGACAATAATCAAAAGCATTTTTTGTTAATAAACCATCCTTAATTCCTCTAGCTAAAAATTATAAAAGTGGCTAAAACAGTTACATTTTCTATGTTCCAAAAAAATTTACAAAGACAGGCTAGCCTTTAAGATAACAATAACTATATTTATTGCCATAGCAATTTCAGCTCTCACTCCCATCACTTGCATTAGTATTTAGGATGTTTTCAAGCCCCTTCCCAGAAGATGTGCTGCATGTCTGGGCCCAATCAGGGCAATGGGTAGGTACACAATAAGGTGTCCAGAAATGGCATGGGTTTAATTGTACTCCTGTGCACAGTTAAAGGCCCACTCACCAAGATATTATCAATAACATTAACTCTCAAGCTTACGTTGGTGATAAAAGCCATCCCACAGGGGCAAACAATGCCTCAATAGATTACAGAATTCTTAGTGGGGTGCTTGAGTGTCCATGCAAAAAGGTGGCGAAACTGTGTCAAGGTGGTCAGAGAGAAATCCTCTGGGCCTTGCCTAACAGCTGGAATCTCCTCCGGGGCCTTGCCACACAGCAGAGCTGTTCTCTTCACACCTTCATGTCATCCACACCCACTGCACAGACCCCAGCACTTTTGATACTATACTTTGGTATATCTTTTTCTGTTCTTTTACTTTCAGCTTATTTGTGCCTGAAAGTAAGAAAAATTTCAGGTAGTATGTTGTTGGATCATTGAGAAATACATGTATATCATGTTTTTCTTCGTTAATTCTTCTGTTACTCTATTACTTGGTGCTAAATTCACCTTTTAAAATTTTTGGGAATAGTTTTTAGCTTATGTATATATTTTCTAGTTATTTTTTCTTAAGAGTTTCTTAGTATTTTTTAGTAGTTATCATTTTCTTAGTAGTTGTCTGGGGAGTATAATTAATATCTTAAATTTATAGGAACCTATTTTGAATTAAAGCCATCTTAGTTTCAGTATTATACTACATTCTTTGGCTTTATACGTCTGTCTCCTTTTATGTTGTCACAAACCACATATTCCTAAGTTTTCTGCCTGTTATTATGGATCTATAATTATTTTATTCAGCTGTAATTTCAGTTATAAGAAAAAGTTGAAAGTAAAAATACAGCAGTTTAGGCTTTCACTATCAACCTAGATAAGAGCCCAACGCTGTATTTGTTATGTTTTCATATAGCTTCAAGTCACTATCTTGTCTTTTTGTTTTTACTTGAAGGGGCTTTAGAGTTTCTGGTATCGCATGCCTGCTATAGATGAACTTTCTCAGACTTTTCTGCAAAAGTCTTAACTTCTTCTTGATTTATGAATGATAGTTTTGTTAGCTGTATATCTATCGGCTGATAGTATTTTTGTTTTAGTATTATAAAGCTGTCATTTCACTGCCTTCTTGCTTGCAAGAGTTTTGCTGAACAGTTGGCTGGTGAGCTTGAAATTCCTTCTGTGTGGAGTTGCTTTTCTTATGCTGCTTTTGGGATACTCTCTTTCAAAAATTCTGTCTTTTCACAGTTTGATTTTAACGTATTAATGTGAACTTTTGTGTTTACTCTTCTTTTTAAAGTTTTATTTATTTTTTGACATAGAGAAAAAGAGAGGGTGAGATCTTCTGTTCATTGATTCACTTCTAAATGCCTGTAGGTTAAAGAACCAGAAACTCTACCTATATCTCCTACCTTGGTCCTAGGAACCCAAGTAACAGGGATGTCATTATTAAGTTGGATTGGAAGCAGAGAGTGGTGCCGAATCATAAATACATCAGTATGGGATATGGATGTACCAAACAATGATGCTGTAATGCCTGCCTTATTTTGGGGTTTTAAAGATTTATTTTTATTATTTTTTCATTGGAAAGGCGGATATACAGAGAGGAGAGACAGAGAGGAAGATCTTCCGTCCGATGATTCACTCCCCAAGTGAGCGCAACGGGCCGATGCTATGCCGATCCGAAGCCAGGAGCCTCTTCCGGGTCTCCCACGCGGGTGCAGGTTCCCAAAGCTTTGGGCCGTCCTCGACTGCTTTCCCAGGCCACAGGCAGGGAGCTGGAAGGGAAGCGGGGCTGCCGGGATTAGAACTGGTGCCCATATGGGATCCCGGGCGTGCAAGGCGAGGACCTTTAACCACTTGCGCCACCGCGCCGGGCCCTATTTTGGGGTTTTAAAAAGTCTATTAGATGAGTAAATTCCTTCATTTTACCAATTGGAAATTTTTTGGTCATTATGTTTTTAAAAGATTTATTTTTATTTTTATTCGAAA